TCCCAGTTTGTGTAGTATTGCCCAAATTGGTACAAAGAATCCTTGACGGCGCATCCAAGGGGGGGATAACGTTCCTTCTCCCCCCATGGGTGCGCCCATGGTCTTGTAACAAATTTAATTACATTTTTCGTACCAAAACTTACAAAAATATCCAGCATTTTGGTCAGGATACGGTAAATATATATTAAAGAATGAAATTTTGACACTTAAATCAAATATTACAGCCGTAGAGTCCAAACGCTAAGTTATACAAATTTGGCGTATTTTTTTTTGAAATCTTCATGTTCGAATTAGTCAAAAAAGACACTAAAATTAAACAAAAATATATTGAAATAAATTTGTGAAAAATTTTAACCCCTTAAAAATTAAATAAGGGTTGCAACCCTACCCCAACGGGTGAAATTTTAGGTGCTGCGGGTAAAATAGCTTAAAATGACCTATTAAACAACTGTGCCAAGTTTTATGCTTTTAACCCAATTTGCTACGTTTTTTTATGGACCGCATATACTATTAAGCGGCCCATACATTATCAAACAAATTGCGCAACACAGGCTGTTGCGCAACGAGTTGCCAATGTATGGTAGTGTTTGATGCGTTGCGCAATTGTGAGTTTCAAGAATGTTTGAATTCTTTTATGCAACAGGACTGTTTGCGCAACGCGTTGTGTAGTATATGTGTATGTTGCGTTTCGTTGTGCAATATTTTAGTTCTTTCATCCAAATTCTTTGTTTTCTTTTTCGTTTTTTGGTATCATCGACATCATCTAGGGTATATACGATAACAATTGACGCAATGGAAATTGAAGACATGATTGTTTCGCTGAAACAGTTGTGCAACGCAACGTTGCGCATCGCTTTGTTGCGCAATTTGTTTTATAATGTATGTATGTATATAATATATAATATTAAGTTGTGTGTTAAAAGATGAGAATAATAAAATATCATCTTAAATATTTTGAATTGGACCATTTTTTCCAGATTTCAATTGACGCATTTCGGTTAATGATTAATGACGTAAAACTTGAAACTATATACATTTATCTAAGAATCTAATGAGAATATCTTAGAGATAACCAAGCAATAAAATATTTTCGGAGGTATAGACGTAAATAAAACGATAGCACACAATAGTGTACTTATACTTAATATACTAATAGGTACTTTATTATTTAATTCTCAGAGTAACTTTAAAGTAGAGGTTTATAATCAGTTCACAATCAACAGGTTATCCCCCCCCCCGGAGCCTTTTTTATAGTCCAATGTCCTTTTTTTACTTTTCAAAAAGGTGGCAACCCTAAATAAACGTAATATTTTTGTCGTTTTAAAACGGGATAAAATATACTAAGTAAGTACATTCAATAAAAAATAAAATTATCTACCTATGTATCACGGGAATTATAAAATGTTAATAACCTGGGGAAATTATTGTCCCTCGGGCAATAGGCACTCGGGACAGAAGCTTTGCCGAGGTTATTAACACCACATGATATAGTTCATACAAATTAAACTTTTATCACGTGTTAAGCTTGACCGGGACAGCGTTACCCACTTATACATATTGTCAAGATCAAGGTGTATTACTGGTTGCATAACTGCATTACTGCTACATAACTGCAACGTGCATTGAGGAACTTGGCGAAAGTAAAAGAAAATTACAGAATTCACAGAATTGTATTGTAAATAGTATAAGTTGTGTGTACAGAGTGAGACAAATAAATTCGTTAAGTATTTTATCGTGAGTTTAAATAGTGGACCCACGGAATCCGTAACAATATTTTCATTTAATCAAAATCTTTTAGGTTTGGTTTATATATAATAAAAATAAATTAATTATAAATAGCACCTAGTAAGCCCGGTCCCGAATATGTCCATGGGTGGCAACAATAAATTTAAAAATCGCGCCCTCGATTACGCAACTAAAAGTTTAATTGGTAATTCGTATCGCCAAAGAATATTATAATTTTATTATTAAGGTATTAAGATATTCTTTGGTATCGCTGATAGGAAACAATTAGAATGCTTCATTTAGTGTTTTCTGTATTGAAATAGTCAAAAATATTTAAACTCGAATTTAAATGTCTTTGGAAATAGTTGATGTCTCACCAAAAATTTGGCTATTTTCTCTTTAAAATCTTCTCGAAAATCAAAAAATAAATACAATTAATAATACAGTTATTTATTTTCCTTCAAAATACCCAAATATAACCACTGTTTTTCTCAAACTTTTCACCGCATCTTTACCTTCCACTTTCTTGAGCAACACATTATTTGTAGAAACCAGCCCTACTGCCCTAGCAGACTCCAACTTCTCTTTAACCTCTTCCAAATCAAAATTATGCTCATACACTTCACCCAGCTGCTCAGAACTGTAACTCACTCGCACAAACTTATCCAGAATCATCAGAAAATAAGTTATTCCTGACTCTAACTTCAGAATAACATTTCGAAATATTAACTTGAAGTTTTCGTGCTCTTTAAAATGATCGCGTTTCATGATGTCAAGTCTACCACTCCAATTACAGGATTCTACAGGACATTCTCTCTCTCGCTCTAACTCGCAGGATAGTTCGTGTTTTTTTAGAGTTGAACCGCCAAAAATTTTCTTGCAGTTTGACCAGCGACATTCGAACTTGATGTTGCCAAATAACGATTGCACCGCGGTTCCGGTTTCGTCGTGAATACGTGATCCATCCACGCAAATATTATTGTACTTCTTCAAACTGTGTTCGAAACAGTAATAGCAGTAGAAATGTTGAAAGTGCTCACAACGATTCCAATAATAGTTTTTACAATAACCGCTATAAATCAGGTTGTGATCGCCACAATGGTAACAAACGAACAGCGTTGTTACAAGGGCAAAAATTTTTGTACTATAAATAGTGTCGAAATTGTATTTTTTTAAGTGGGATTGTACATTTTTGGTGCAAAAATGTGGGGTCATGTGATCTCTCTATTTACCTTTTTACCAAGTTTTGGTACGTAGGGTGCATCCACACTATCCTTAAAACAGCGGAACGGCGTATTGGCTTAACGACCTTGAATCGATTTCCTGCAATTCTATTGGCTGAAATTTTTGCCAGGTGAATTTGACAGATAAAATTTCTGACAGATGAATTTTTCAGCCAATAGAATTGCTGGAAATCGATTCTAGGTCGTTACGCCGATACACCGCCGCCGATCCGCTTTTTTAGGATAATGTGGATGCACCCTCACAGAATTATACACCATATGCTGTCCTCCTTTCACGCAGTTGAGCAGCTCTGAACTGTTCAAGAACGCGATACTCTCCCTCCATTCAATTGAGTCATAAAGTTCAGAACTGGTTCCGCGCCATATGGAAGCACAAGGCTATCTCGCACAGCTCCTTTCAGAACCGTTCTGAGCAACCCAGGGCGTAAAGCTCTGGAACTTGAAATTCGCAAATAGAGGACAGCAATACAGAAGCTACAAAGAGCTTTGAATAGCATTGGTTAAATGGGAACTAATTGCGTGACGTCACGTTTGACATCGGGACACAATAGATCTCTAAGGTCGCAGTGATTAGCCCCCCTCCTACTCACCGCATGGATATCAAACTTACGTTTGACATCCATGCGGCTTGAACAGCATTTCAAGTGATGTATAATTCTGGGCCTCTGCTCCTAGCAACCTGCATTTCAAATCCACGCATCGCGTATCACCGTTCGTCTAAAAATATGTACGTGGGTTTAAGTTTGGGTTAGTTTGGGTTTGAGAAGTAAGAATTGTACATTTTTTCTTGCAATTGTACCTATGTACTCATTGACTATCAAATGTACCCAAAATAGTACAATTGTACCTATTGTAACAACACTGCAAACGAATAAAAGATTTTGTTTTTCATAAATAATCAATGCAGGAATTGTCTTTGGCTGATATACAAGCTGTGCGGTACTTTTTTTTGACTTCTTCGTCTAAGTAGACTTTGTTTTTCGGTAGTAACTGTTCCATTTTTTAGAAAAAGCAGATTAACAATAAGAACTAATCGTACTTGAAACTGAAAATTATTTTTATATTACAAAATAAAGTTTTAACTTAAAGCATACTTATCTTATCTGTTTTTCGTATCAAGACAAATTTATTTTATGCACTGGGAACAATACTAGGAATACATATCCTAAAAATATTTTGTTGCATACAAGGTGTCCCCAACAAAAGTAATGATAAAGTTGTATTTTTTTTTAAATTGCAATCCCTATTTTTCTGTGCAGAACTGGTTGCACTGGTTGCAGCATAGACCTGGGTTGCAGCATAAAATTCTGCACATAGTACAAAATTTTTATTTGAAGCACAAAGCGGTGTTGCCACGCTATTTGTTATTTACTAAAATTTTAGTTAAAAACAGTATATTTGAAAAGTTGTTAAAACCTGGAGTGAATTTAACTTTATTTAATACTTATCTCTCTTTTCCTAAATACCTGGGTAACAAAATAAATCCGTGATGGTAAACTCACATTATCTTATACTGAGTATTTTTTATGGCATGACTAACATTGCAACATTTAAAATGCAACATAAAAAATGTTTGTATATTAATTATGCATATAAAAGAAAAGTAATATATAAGGTGTTGCATTAAAAAAAAATGAGACAGAGTATTTTAAATATTGCAATGTTAGTCACACCACAAAAATAAAGACCAGAAAAAATCGGCGTTGGGTTAGATATTGACATTTTTTACAGCAAAGCTACCACCTGAAAACCCAACGGAAAATTTAAATTCTAGTTAGTAAGCCCGGCTCCGAATATGTCTGTGGTTGGCAACAATGGGTTTAAAAATCGCGCCCTCGATTACGTAACTAAAAGTTTAATAATTGGTATCTCTTATAGGAAACAATAAGAATGCTTCATTTAGTGTTTTCTTTATTGAAATAGTTGATGTCTCACCAAAAATTTGGCTACTTTCTCTTGAAATCTTCTTCTAATTAATACACTTTAAAAAACATAAAACCGAAGGTTCGAAAATCAAAATAATAGATATAATTAATAACATAATTATTTATTTTCCTTCAAAATACACAAATATAACCACTGTTTTTCTCAAACTTTTCACCGAATCTTTACCTTCCACTTTCTTGAGCAACAAATGATTTGTAGAAACCAGTCCCACTGCTCTAGCATACTCCAACTTCTCTTTAGCCACTTCCAAATCAAAATTATGCTCATACACTTCTCCCAGCTGCTCAGAACTGTAACTCACTCGCACAAACTTATCCAGAATCATCAGAAAATAAGTTATTCCTGACTCTAACTTCAGAATAACATTTCGAAATATTAACTTGAAGTTTTCGTGTTCTTTAAAATGATCGCGTTGCATGATGTCAAGTCTACCACTCCAATTACAGGATTCTACAGGGCATTCTCTCTCTGGCTGTAACTCGCAGGATAGTTCGTGGTGTTTTAGAGTTGAACCGCCAAAAATCTTCTTGCATTTTTCCCAGCGACATTCAAACTTGATCTTGCCACATAACAAATGCTCTATGGTTCTGGTTTCGTCGTGAATAGGTGATCCATCCACGCAAGTGTGATTGTATCTCTTCAAACTGTGATCGAAACAGTAGTAGCAGTAGAAATGTTGAAAGTACGCACAACGGTGCCAAAAGTACTTGTTGCCATAGCTCAGGTTGTGATCTCCACAGTGATAACAAACGAGTAAAAGATTTTGATGTTTTCTGAAATCAATGCAGGAACTGTCTTTGGCTGATATACAAGCTGTGGGGTATTCTTCTTTGACTTCTTCGTCTAAGTAGACTTTGTTTTTCGGTAGTAACTGTTCCATTTTATTGAAGAAGCAGATTAACAATAAGAACTAATCGTACTTGAAACTGAAAATTATTTTTATACTACAAAATAAAGTTTTATCTTAAAGCATACTTATCTTATCTGTGTTTCGTATCAAGACAAATTTATTATATGTTATATGCATTGGGAATGTGTAATAACTATTAACTAAATAAGCATTCATTATGGGGGGTGTCATATTTTGGAAACAAGGCATAATAGTGCAAGTTTTTTTGTCGAAATATCACCGTCGATTGAAGAAATAAGAAAATGCGCAACCTTATGGGCGATTTTATGGCACCTGTCCGAGATGGAGTTGACGATACCATCGCCGCTAGTCAACCTGTCCGAGATTTAGTTTAGCTCTGCGGCTCTGCGCGCTTTATACGGCTCTGCGTCGTTTACAGCGCAGCGGATAAAGAATACTGTACCGTAGTTCTGCTTTCAGTCGACAGAGTGGGTTGTTGCCGGAGACAGTGTTGCCAGAACTACGGATTAATCCAATCAAATTAGCCTTGTCACAAATTTGCGCATTAGGTAGCGTATCTTCCCAATTCTTTCAATCAACGATATCACACAGTGTAGTCTGCAGTATCTAACCAATATGTACAAAATCAAAAATATCTTATTTATATGGACAGATTTCGATAGCAGATAACATATTCAAGTTGAATTAATAATGTATATGTCTCTATGCCGACTGCAAGACAATTCATTTAATTGCTTTAATTTGCCAGCTAAAAATAGAATAAGAACAAAGTGTAACTAACAATAATGGGCAGAGAGACAACACTAATGCAATATATCTGACTGATTTTTTCTTCTCGTTTGAAGTGGAAATTTTTAACGACAATCCAATAAGTTTATTGTAGAATAATCTGCAATTTTTGTAGACAAAACATCAATGAAAATATTATGGAGGTTCACAAGGGTATCATTTTTCATTTATGTTTTTATCGTAACCAATGTAAGCTTTTTATTCATACATAAACAGTGTTGGAATTTTATTTTGTACTCAATAATCTTTATACAATACCTTTGTATGGCGGATTCATTTCTTCAAAAAAGGAAAAGTAAAAATAAGTAAAAATTAAAAACAAACAAAAAATGATACACAGAAAGATTGAGACCTTTTTGGTTTTACCCCATTAAGTAATTATTATCAGCTCTTTTGTTTTAATAGTAAAATACCGCTGACAGATTGGTTTATGTTGGATCAATGGTAACGCAGCGGTCTTTACAAAAAAAACAGGGCTCACATTACCTCTGAATTAATATGACAGACAACTGTCATTTTGTCTGAATACTATAATTAGATAGCCTAATATACTCTGTCCAACGACCTATTGAATATTTCCACAGATACGACATTCCAAAAATGACAGAAAATACAATTTGTGTGTGAAATAACATGACAGACACAACTGTCACTATCGTAGCTCCTTCCGTTGGACAGACTATACCGGGTACGTCTCGAAAGTGGCTCACTACTATAACTTTTTTTTGAGATAAAAAAACGAGATTTGGTATGTTAGTATATGACATAAATTAGAATTAATTGACGTAGGTAATCAATTGTTTTTGATCACTTCTTGTTTCATCGGAAATGACACCAATTTTTGATTTTTAAATGGCACCCTCGGTATATTTCTACTTTTTTGGATAGAAAATGACACTCTGGATAGAATTTATATCATATGTCAAACTTTTGACAGTTTCGCATATGGTTTATTTGAAATTGTAACATGCAGTTCGTAACGACGATTTGACTTGAAATATCAAGTGTGTGGTAACAAATTATTCAAATATTTTTTTCCAAATATGCTAACCAACCACCCTTGTCGTCTCAATTGATAAAATTGAGGTACGATTAAAAATACGATTTGTCCATCTTTTAACAGGCCAGGAGAAAACAAGAAAAATATTAGACGATCAAATCTATTTTTCCAAGGCCCCTTGATTAAAAATTAGTGTTTTTAACACAGCCATGGCACTCCAGATTCAAATTTAACATACGATTTGATTAAAGCAAAAATGTCAAAACTTAACCTATATGATATGTCATTCTACTCAAAGTCTCATTTTGTATCTGTTCTGTGGTCTCATTTTCTATCAAATAAACTAGAAATATACCAATGGTGCCATTTAAAAATCAAAAATTGTAGTCATTTCCGATGAAACAGGAAATGACCAAAAACAATTGAATAAGTCAATCAATTCTAATTTATGTCATATACTAACATACCAAGTCTCGATTTTTTATCTGAAAAAATAAAAAAGTTATAAGGGTGAGCCACTTTCGAGACGCACCCGGTATTCTGATTTTTATTAACCAGCCTTCCAATACTTTTAAGACTTCCCTCGTATCATTGGAAATATTTTTTTATTATAAAGTTATTTTTAATTATTTTAGAAAAGGAAAAGCAGTGTATCAACGATAATGGTGAATTTTTTGAATATGAAGAAACTCAAATTGTGAATGAACAAAAACGCCCGGGAAAGCCAAAAAATTCTGGAGACTTTTTTGGCGTAGAAGGAACATTTAAAAAGCTAGAAGTAGATTAATTTATATCCGATAAAAATATTATGCATCGTATTTAAAAGAGATCGAATAAATACAAGTACTTAATTATTGAAGTTTTCTTCAAAAAAATCACCATAAAAGCAACAAAGATATTTTTTTTTAATAAAATATACATTTTTAATAAAATAACTGCCTTTTATGTTTCGAGATAAGTACAGTTAATAATATTTAAATTATTTTTATATCCTTTTTGTAAGCACACCACTCTCTACAGGGTGAGTCAACGATAGAGTAAAGTCCATTATCTCATTTGTTTCGCGGTTTACAAAAAAAAATTAAATATAAAAGTTGTAGGGAAGGTTAAGATACACATTTTAAAATTATTATAAAGTATACAAGGTGCTTCAAAAAAGTATGGCGGATATAATATATTATTCTTTTTAAATGCAACACTCTTATTTTATTTTTAGATTCTACATAAAATTCCATAACTTTTTTGGAAACATGCAATATTATATACCTCAAATTAATAGTTTTTGTAATATTTCAGTTTGTTTAAACAGATGTTAAATTGCAGTGTGGTAAAAAATTGTCAGCTGTGCCATTGTTTCTGGCTTGGAGTACCAAAATTGGAGAGTTTTATAGAGATGAAAAAAAGATATACAGGGTGTCCCACTTAAGATGGATACAAGCCAATATCTTGATTGTTTATTGACCGATATTTTTCATTTTTGGCAGGAGGCTGTATGCCTATAAGACGTACATTTTGTCCAGGGTAAGAAATGCGATACCTCATAGACGTACGTTTTAATGGGGTTTGGTATTTTTCGAGTCAAGAGTAAACTATCCTTAGGACAGTATTTATTTCAAATCTGATAAATTATAGTGAATCCTCCTTACCTAAGATACTTACCAATTTTTATAAATATTGATACAGGGTGTGTCATTAAAATAAGACATTTTTATTTTTAATATTATTTTTTAAGTACTTACGACGCCACTGGATAAACAACTGGTTTATTATCAATAACCAATTATCAATTAATAATCGATTTAAATTTTCAGATAGCTTCCATAATAATTAAGATACGTTACAAAAAAACTTTGTTTAGGGCATATATTTTTCAAAGTTAATATAGTAATTGTTTTAAAAATATCTAACTATTTGGATTTCTTAAAATATTCCTCAATAAAACGAATAAAAATCATATTTCAGATTCCATTGAAAACTGGGTTTTTAAATTATTTTTTAACTCATTTTATTCATTTGTATTAGCAAATTTAAAAAACAATTTTTTAAAGTAAACAAAATAAAGTTATTTAGTTATTATGGAAGCTATCTGAAAACTTAAATCGATTATTACTTGATAATTGGTTATTGATAATAAACCAGTTGTTTATCCAGTGGCGTCGTAAATACTTAAAAAAATAATAATAAAAATAAAAATGTCTTATTTTAATGACACACCCAGTATCAATATTTATAAAAATTAGAACTTAAGTATCTTAGGTAAGGAGGATTCACTATAATTTATCAGATTTGAAATAAATACTGTCCTAAGGGTAGTTTACTCTTGACTCGAAAAATATCAAACCCCATTAAAACGTACGTCTATGAGGTACCTATCGCATTTCTTACCCTGGGCAAAATGTTCGTCTTATAGCCATACAGCCTTCGGCCAAAAATGAAAAAGATCGCTCAACAAGCAACCAAGATATTGGCTTTTGTATCCATCTTAGGTGGGACAACCTGTATATAAAGATATTTTAGTTAAATGATACAGGGTGTTCAAAATATATTTAAGAATTTCAACTACGGTACTTAAATTTCGGTACTTAAAATTAAAAAAAAATCAAATATTTTAAAGGGGACATTAACTATTAATTTTAGGTATATAAAATTATATATAAAAAAGTTATGGAATTTTACGTATGATCTAAAAATAAAATAAAAAATAGGGTGTTCCATTTAAAAAAAACATATGTTATATTCGCCACACTTTTTTGAAGCACCCTGTATAATTTTAAAATGTGTATCTTAACCGTCCCTATCACTTTAATATTTAATATTTTTTTGTAAACCTCGAAACAAATGAGATAATGGACCTGACTCTATCGTTGACTCACCCTGTACTGTGTACCTGTCTGTACAGTACATACATCCCGAAATGACATCCCGATATAAATCGAATTAACATATTACCAACGTTATAAAAATTAGAATTTGTAAATAAGCTTTAAAAAAACGTTTTTGCTTATTTTATATATTTAAAGATTAAACCTTATTCAAGTTCGAACACTTCGAACACTTACAATTAATAAATAATATAAAATAAATTAAACAATGAGTCAAACCTAAAATTACCTACTATTTTAGTTTTCAGTAAAACCTATAGAATAAACTTAGAAGAAAAATAATAGCTGATAATAGACAATAAACTGGGTACTTTAAATCATTATAATAAAAGCCATCTGATAAGTAATTTAGTTTAAATAAGTTTATTATTAGTTATTGATTTTTTATGGATATTTGTCATCATAAAAATTGAACAGTATGAAAAATGGCGCTGTCTTACGTCAGATCGTTGCGTCACGGAGCGTGCGCCGTTGCCATCTCTCAATGTAAGTGATTCACTGTCAGTGTCAAGTTAGTCCTGTATTAAATTTCACATGTTAACTAGTTAAAAATTAATAAGAAACAAGATGTTAATTAAAGAATAGTAAGTACGAAGCAAATTTCCTTCTTTGTAGTGCATATTTCGGTTCAGAGCGGTTTAATTTAAGTGATAATTCGATGTTTAAAGGGTGCGTAAAAATTTGAAGGGGGTTGAAGTGTCAAAAAGTGGCCGAATTTAACTGATAAAATCCTCTGGAACAGATTTTGATAATTGCAGGATCAATTTTTGGCCCATTAATTGATATCGTCTAATGTGTGTGTTTTTCCTAAATAAAATAATAGATGTTTTATGTTTTTTTGCTTGGGACTTTGGATTTTGGCATTGGGCAATTTTATTTTCGCTTATTTTGTCACTTGACGTTTTTGTTAATGATATTTGTTTTTTTTCCAGCCGTGTTACCTTGCCCCTTACTGTTGAAGAGGTATGTATTTTCTTTAATTTGCTTAGACGTATTCGTTGAGCCCTTCCTAATTAAAATAGTGGCTGAAAGTCATAAACATGCATGTTTGTGAGTTTCACTAATTGTTGCCTAAACTAGAACATGTCGTAAGCTATTATACCAAACTATCACACGCAAAAAACTAGGCGATAGACCCTTTAATTATAACAACAGATACCTTTGATAATAGTTAAATATGGTAATTATTCTTTACGTATCAAGGATCCAAAATTCAGTGTATTTTAAATCTAATTATTTATAATTATTCTACAAAGTACAGTAGTATTTAGTATATAGCATGTAATTTGTGTTTTTTAATAACAAAAATATTTGTGAAAACCAAATTTCTTGGAAAGCAATATCATTAACAAGAAAAAAAAATCATCTTATCAATTTGAAAAATGAATTTACCTTTATGAGTCATAATATTCTTTCTGAACTTTAAGGCACATAATAGTAAGTCCAAATTAAACACAAACAAAGCCACTAGAACGACTGTAAACACACAGCTGACACAACGAAAATGGCAGAAAATAGAGTCGGTTGACAGCTCATCGGCCCCAGTCGGCGCGTTATTCAAATAAATGTTATTCATTGGTCCGAGCGCTTGGAATCCTGGAGTGGGAAACTGGTAGGATGCGCAGTGGTCTTTGCTACATCTTTTAACTTCATAAATCTATGGGTTTGCCTAATAAATTTTTATGTGTTAGCCTTCTATTGGGCTTTTTATAGTCTTGTTATGCTTTCGAATAAATAAAGTATGTTATATAATATTTTTTCTTAGGTTATGTCATAATGTATATGATTTTTTACTTAATAATTTCAGTATCAAGTTGCTCAGCTATTTAGTGTAGCCGAAGCCTCCAAAGATAACACAGGTGGTGGTGAAGGAATAGAAGTGTTAAAAAATGAACCATTTACCAATTACCCACTGCTGGGTGGGAAATATAATTCAGGCCAGTATACTTACAAGATTTATCACTTAGCGAGCAAAGTGCCAGCATTTATTAGGCTCTTGGCGCCCAAAGGCAGTCTGGAGATACATGAGGAAGCGTGGAATGCCTACCCCTATTGTAAAACAGTCATTACGGTTAGTGTGTTATTTTAAGATCATTTTGTCAATATTATAGTAAAAAAAAAACAAATTTCTTTGACCTCATTAATGTTTGACCACGGCTATAAAAGCTAAACCAAACACATTTGGGGAGTATAATATTAGGAAAGTAAACAGTACACACACACACATGTTTTATTAGTTGCATATACAGGGTGGCTCAACAGTTTGTGGAAGTCCAGTATGGCTATTGTTAACAAAGATATAAAAAAAGTTTTTTATACCATCCTGGGCATTTCATCTGCGTGGTATGTATTTTAATGCATGCGACAGAGATAAATATAAGTGACCGGTTGACAGACAGGGAGACAAAATAGAAAAGCGGCATACAGTGTTGCCGGTTTTTACGCGTGTAGGAAAATGTGTGTATAAAAAATGAACTATTTTAAAAACTTTTATGTATATTACTGAAATGAAGATAATATTATATCCAAGCTAAATATAATCTACTACAGCTGTAGTTAAATGAGTAACTGATTGTGGTTTGAAATTTTGATGCAAAATCTGGCTATACTGCATAGAAGAAATGCATCAACCCACCTTTTTTCTCTCAACATTTGATATTTCATTAAGCTGTCTACATCACTGTTTTACACGGTAAAATCCAGACCACGCGTTTACGATGACCAGATTGGTATAAATAAATGTTCCATGGCATAAGATGCATATCCTAAAAATATTTTATTGTCTACAAGGTGTCCCCAACAAAAGTAATGATAAAGTTGTATTTTATTTTAAATTGCAATCCCTATTTTTCTGTACAAAACTGGTTGCAGCATAAAATTCTGGCATAGTACACAATTTTTATTTGAAACCCAAAGCGGTGTTGCCATGCTATTTGTTACTAAAGTTTTAGTTAAAAACAGTATATTTCAAAAGTTGTTAAAACCTGGAGTTAATTTAACTTTATTTAATACTTATCTCTCTTTACTTAAATACCATACCTAACAAAAAAAAATCCATGAAGGTAAACTCACATTATCTTATACAGAGCATTTTTTATGGCATGACTAACATTGCAACATTTAAAATGCAACATAAAATATGTTTGTATATTAATTCTGCATCTAAAAGAAAAATAATATACAAGGTGTTGCATTTAAAAATGAGAGAGAGTATTTTAAATATTGCAATGTTAGTCACACCATAAAAATAAAGACCAATGTTGGTTTAGATATTGACATTGACATTCACCATATATTTTTACATATAAAATGTCATCGTTTTTTTTTATCGCACAGTTATATATATTTTAACATATGTATTAATAAAATTTTATTTTATACGATCTTGATTTTAATACTTTTTTACGTCTTTTTGACTTTTATCGTTTGATTTTTATTTCTATATAATACAAAATTCGTATATGCATTGTTTTATTTGAATAAAATTAAATATATTTGGAACTTTTTAAATATTAACTGCACACTACTTTAATCGATTAGATTATAAATATTGCACATAATGTTACGAATAATACAAACCTACTTGTATTTATCTGGATATAATATTTACTTTTCTAAAAAGCCAATATTAGTTTTTCTAGAAAAAATCTTTTGTTTTTATAATAATTTTATTAAAACTAGAAAAATTGTATTCCAATCATTCAAAAATAAAATGTTTAAAGAGATTCTGTAAAAATGCTTAATATTGATGGATATTTATTCCAGGTCTTACCACATAATTTTATCCAATGTAGCGTTAGAAGCCAAGCGATAATTTTTTTTAATTAAGTTGGTATATATAGGTAAAAATAAAGATGCATTTATTTCAGATTATTTAATATAAAATATTAATTTTAATTGTTAAAATTTACGAAGAAATGATAGTGTCTTTTTCGAAAACGAATATCTCATGAAAAATAACTAAGAGATGAACAAAAAAATAAACTATCAAGAAAAGATGCTATTTAGATGATAAAATTATTTCCAAACTACTTTCATTTTGAATATATTCCACAGGGTGTTCCAAACTTTCACCAAAATAACAATTTTTTTTTTGTTCCCTCGTATAATTGGCAGATGGAAACTTTCATTTTTAATTCAGAAAAAGATGCTAAAAAGTCAACTAATTATGCTACAAATTGCTTAAAAGATCATCAAAATCGGTTCACTAGAACACAATGTAATATAATCGCAAAACAATTTCCGAAGCACGTGATCAACATTGAGTGACAAGCGATGGCGACAGCGCTGCCAGATTGTGATGGATTTATGAGATGAATCTTAATTTAAAATTGACAAACAATATATTTATAATATCATTTTTTAAAGAGGTTTACGTTTTATTTTTAATTTAATAACTAATAGTTTAGTAATTAATTGATTTATTTGTTTTATAGCTTATTTCACTTATTACATATTGGCAAAAACTAGTCCATTATGAAGATTATTCTAAGCATTATTATGGGTTATTTATTTATTTATTTATTGATGTAGATCTTACAACGCCATAAATGGTAATAACAAGTAAGAGGGTGCTGTTAATGCACAAACTAATAATCACAGAATTTCATAAAAACTGACTTTGAAAGTGGTATAATGTGCTTATCAATCACTTACTTCAATCCACTTACTCTGACTACAGTCAAGAGTAATAAAGGACCTTTATTGTCACGTTCTCGTTTAAATTGTTTATCAGGGAAGCTACAAGCTCTTTACTTCGACTGTTTAAATGCTTCGGCATATTTTCGACACACAATTTCAAGAACCAAATCAAACCAAACCAACACACAATTTTAAGAAATGCAATACAAAAACTCGAAAAATTAGTTCTTAAAAGAACTGTTTGTGCTTAAAAGTGCAATTAAAAAAAAACGAAAATAGGCAAAAAAAACGAGAATTGCTCACAAAGATTCAACAACAACACGATATTATACAAAATAATCACTGACATTAGGATAATTGTCAAATAATAAAGGTCAACATTGCTGAACACGGCGCAATGTGACCAGGTTAGGTTAGGTTGCTGGGGTTTGGGGTCATATTTGATCCCTCACTCGGAGGCCTTGGGCCCATTGCGATACCCCTGTATTGTTTTACCAAACTTTCCTCTCATTCTTTCTTTGCGTTAAAGCACTTCCAGCTCTTTGCAAAGTTCCCGATGTCGCTGATGTTGGCTTCTGCTGCTTCGTCTAGTTCCTCCAAAAAACCTTGCCCTAAAGTTTTAAAGCGTCGATATTCCAGTGCCGGACAGTGGCACAGCAGGTGCTCTATGGTTTCTTCTTCCTCTCCGCATTCTCTGCAGTAGTCGTCGTCGGAAACTTTCCATCTTACGAGGTTTACCCCCGTGGGACAGTTTCCAGTGACGACACCTACAATTATGCGTACTAGGTCCTTTTTGTGCTCTAGTAGTTGTTTTGTCTTTTTGCTATCTACCACTGGCCATAGTCTTCGAGCTGTAGCGCAGTCCTCACGGTGTTGCCACGTCTCTTACTGCTTGGCTTTGATGGCAGTTCCTATAGCCTCCTTCAGTGTGTTGATCGTTACAAGTGGTGGGTCATCTGCCACGGCCTCTCCCCTGGTCCCGTCTTTGGCGGGTCTGTCTGCTTTCTGATTGCCCACCACATTGCTGTGGCCTGGCACCCAGCACATAGTAGCCCCGCCCCGACGCAGCCAGGACAGTGCTTCTCGGCATTCCATCACAGTTTTCGATTTCACTGATTGCATGGTGATGCTTCTTAAAGCGGCTAAGCTGTCAGAGTATATCACTATATCCCCTATTGGTCTATCAGCAATTTTCTCTGGTATGCAACTAGCCGCTTACTTTATGGCGTAAACCTCTGCTTGTAGAACATTACAGCCATCCAATAGCCTCAAGGATCGTCGGATGTCTAGTTTCTCTGAGAAGATGCCTATACCTGTGCTCCCTGAATTTGCGGAAGCATCTGTGTAGACTGCTATCTCTTGAGTGTTCATTACTCGGTTGCTTTCCCATTCTTCTTTTGTCGGGATTCGAATCCTTATCTTTTCTCCAAAATCATGTTTGGTGAGCATATAGTCCATTTTCTGGTCTAGCAGATGTGGACTCGTGTTCACCATGATTTTCCCTGTGCAATGTGACCAACATAGCGATAATAAAATTCGGTTGAAACTAATTTTTGCAGCTTTAATCTAAATAAAATATCTGTTACGATCATTTGCTCTATAAAGTAAAATGAAGAGCTGCTCGGTATCTTAAATTATACAACAAATTTAAACATTTTTTCCAAAATTTCATTTAGTCAGGTTTAGACTTTAATGTCAATGTCGATATAATTGATGACGTGCATCGGAAAATGTTTTGCGATTACAATATAAAACTTTAAAATACATAAAAATTTTAAGTCACAATACAGACAGGCTTTATTTTACAACCGTTCATGCACATTTAACTTATTTTTTGTTAAATTAGATTGTTATTTTCAGAATCCAGGTTATATGAAAGACAAATTTAGACTAGTTATAGAAACTGTACATGCCCCCGACCGAGGCAGCCAACAGAACGTAAGTAGATTGGGGCCTAACGCTAATTTCCGTTTTTTATTTTTTTATGTGTTTCCTTGCGCGGTGACGGTGGTGATCATGGGCTTGTTGTAAATAATCTACTGGGCTTTGGGTGTGCGTTGCGGCTACCGCAGAATCCCGGTTACATGAAGGACAACTTTGTTATCTGCATCGAGAGCATGCACATAGCAGACACAGGGAGACAGGAGAATGTAAGTGGGTTGCTTGCTCATCCCATTTTATGCTTACTAACAGGGTGGATCAAATATAATTTGGAATTTTTATTTAGTCGCATAATGCGTTGATAAACATGGTTTTTATTTTTTAGGGAAGAATTTTGTGTAAAGCTTTATTCAGAACCTCGCAATTAGTGAAATAAATTAGCGGTTTCATTTACACTTCATATATTATGGCGCACTAAAAACCTTATTCTACATTACGTTTTATTTTGGGCCTCCCCTAAAATAAATTCCTGTATCCGCCCCTGGCCATAAGGACAACGTAAATATACGCTCCATTAGTGTGACGTCATGTAGCCGAAGGTCAAGTGTCGCAAAATCCAAACAAAGCAAGAATATAATGGGATAATCTAATTTTTCTTAATTTTTTATTATATTACTCTGTTCAAAGGATATTTGTGTCTTTCTGAGTGAGTATATAAGCGTTTACCATAGGTTAAAACAATAAAATATAAATTATGTTAAAACAATAAAGAACACGAATTTCCATAGTATTATAGAATTTATTAACTATAGAGTGCACTGGTACGGTTCAAAATTAAATGTACTTACTTGGGGAAATACAATTATCCTTAAGAAAGCAGTAATAACGAGAAAAAAACGGATTAATAGTGGGTTAATTCACGCTTTGTTTAGATTTTGCGACACTGACCTTCCGCAACACGACGTCACCACTAATGGAGCGTATTATTTGACGCTATTCTTGCAACGGTCGCGACCCAAAGCTTTTGATAATTTCGGAGCGGTTCGGCTTTTTCCGGAATTATGCCGCCAGACATAATTTATTCAAATTTATTATTCTTTTCTTTTAATTTTATAAATAAAACACAGTGTGTTGCATACAAGACACTTTATTTTATATAAGAACATGTATGAAATACCTATGAAACATTGGAAACCAACGTTATGCCACGATCCACGATGGTTTTTGCAGTTCTCAGTTCACAACACAACTTTTTAAGTTTTAATGTCACTTTTTCACAATTATCACGGGTTTGAGTAAATAAAATTTAAATTAAACTCACAAGATAGCAATAATTACTTTGATAATGGACGCTTTAACACTTTTCGGTATTTTTTCAATGAGGGCGGTTTAAATTTTGAAAGATTTTATAATTTTTGAAGATTCTGACTTTGACAAGAAAAAATTATTTCTGTTCTTGTTTGCCGTTGCCCTTAGCAACCGCCAAAATCCTGTAGTAGCGCCAGATCGCGTACAACGGTCGCGACCTAAAACAATTGTATATTTTGACGGGCATTCCAATCTAGTTTTTATTCCTTTATCTATGACAATGTCTAAAAAACACAATTAAAATTAATAGAATATCCTAGCAACAGCTTGCGGTAATCAGTTGTATCCATAGAGGAAGCCTAATATTTAGCTTATAAAAAAATAAACTTTTGATTCCTAACCACATTTTTCTCTTGACATGATAATCAAAGGCCAAAATTACATTCCTCGTAAATTTTGAAGTATAATTAGTGGAAAAGTTGAAAGTTTGTTAACTTTTTCCACTAATTGAAAATTACTACCACTAATTATGACGTTCTGAATGCTTACATTAAAATTAAGCTTAAGTATCACAACATAATTCATTTAAACCAAAAACTTGTAATATAAAACCAAAATGTCAAAACGAATAACAATGTCAGGAAATAAATAAATAAATGTGATAACTTGACATTTTTTAGAGCAGGGCTACCACCTCAGGTTTGGAATCCTCAGCGGGAAATTTAAATTCCAGTTAGTCGGCCCGGCGCGAATATGTCCATGGTTGGCCAACAATCAATTTAAAAATCGCTCCCCCGATTACGTAACTAAAAGTTTAATTAGACAGTTAAAGCACGGCCAAAGACGTAGACGTAAACATATCGTTTGACATGTACGCTTGCGCAGTGAGAAATTCACTTGCGTTTACGGATACATGATACGTATCTTTACGTGCCTTTACGTACGTACAAAACGCAAACGTATCGAGCCGAAACGGTTTCGATTTCACCCGATTAATGCCGAACGTACAAATTCAAATCGTCAAACATCTGTCTTAATACCTGGCTCTCTGACCTTCGCTAGTTTTTGGTAGTTATTTGAGATATTTTGGAAATGTTTGACCTTGTGGAACAGGAAAGGGGCCTATTTTAATATAATAAATTAATCATTTGTACACATTTTAAAGTTTTTAAGAGTGGGTACTTCCAATAATATTATTCCCATTAATGTTTTTTTATTCTTCAATAAATATTTTTATAAATTTGATGTGGAATCAATGGATTAAAATATTAAAAAGTACCGGTTACGTTACATAACGTTAAAATACTTGCTTTAACTCTCGTTTGCTTGACAACGCATCCGCATCCGTAGCGTAAGTTTCTACCGTTACGTACCCTGAGATACATACACATATTGTGCCATGCTTTAACTGTCTATTACAAAGCTAGCTTACGCATAGCTGTTTGCGAAAATAAAACAGGTTTTTTCAAAAATCCCGATTTTTATTTGATTCACTCTCTTAACTAGTCGTAGCAATGATTATTTTTTATATTTTAAACTACACATTACACATTATCTACAAGTAGATTGTTAGGCAAATTAACTTTTGGCATCTACCTAAAATTCATCGTCTTATTATATCAATAATTCATAGCTGTAAATTTTAGCTGAATGTGGGTTTTACTAACATTTGTTTTATATTTTTCTTCGTTATTGTTTTTGTGTTTTACTAACATTAACTGTTAAAACGATAATATCATATACATTAAGTCTCAAAAATCTATGTTTTATCGTTGATTGAAAAAATTGGCAAGATACGCAACCTAATGGACGAATTCGTGAAAAGGCTGATTTGATTTCTCCTTACGTTTCAAGTGCTGTACGGTGGAGATACCAATCGTTTTGCGGTAAACGCATAAATAGTTGGGCACAACGTATAAAAATAGCTTCCCGTGGGAAGCTTTATGAACGGAAGGTGTCACTGGAGTTGTTTTATCAGAAAAATTATGTATTCCATTAATTTTTATGGTGACACCGTCACAGATGTTGCGTTTGTTTGGAGTGCATTAAACAAAATGGCCGCCATAGCAATATAGACAATGTGCGGTATCGACGCCGCTATTTAACCGATTTCAATTTTATTTAGCTTGTTAGAAAGGTAATGTAAAGAGGAAAACAATTAATTCTTGAAAGTATTGCGAAAAAATATTTTAGTTGCTGATTGGATTTAAAGTGAAAAAAATTGAAAAATATTGTGTTATATTATTTTTACCAAAATAAAATATGATCTACGTTATATGAGTTCATATATTTAAAAAAAATTAAGTGATACATTTGCACATATATATTAATAAAATTACAAATCGGCATCATCAACTTCATTACTACACTGCAAAATCAGGCGGATGCAAATTATCACAAGTTGATTGGTCCGCATTACAACTACACATTTCTGTGCAAGGCATTTTGTTTGCTAAACATTTACATGGTGGTGAACATCGATTTTTATAACACGAACATCTAATCAGTTGAAGAAGAGACTCTGCAGCACATGGTTCTTCACTCATAACAGGGGTAAGCACCCCTCTTCCAAATACCAGCCGTGTCCAACTGGATTAGGGATGACTGCATTTGGTGTTCATCATCTTTTGACCACACAAAGGCTTAAAGGTTAGCTCTCTTAATTGCGGGTACAAGGGAACCTCTAGTGGGGGGTAACTTATCTCCAAGGGCTTGTTTGGCAGTAAACATTGGCCATCGTAATTCTGCAAGTGATTTTGTTAGAGTGCCTGCTTTATAAACTCGACAAATAAATATTTCTAGCTGATGCAAAACATCATCAGGTACTAAACCACTGGTACCAAGTTTCTGCAAGGCAGTAAGTTCTTCTTCACTCGCTGAAACAAATGCCTTCCAGTATGACAACTTTCCTTTTCCAAACAAACTTCCGGTGGTGTCACAACCAGATATTGCATGGAACCCGGGCAGTGCTGAAGATTTTAGTGGTCCGAGTGAAATATATATGTTTTTAACTGATATTTGGATATATATAATTGGAATCGGTTCAGCAGGGACCGAGATATGCCGCTTGGTTCATAATGAAGCGACGGCCATCTTGGATGACGTCATCATAGCCACACGCAACATCTGTGAAAGTGTCACCATCAAGTACGTTTAAAATACAGTATACGGAGGGTACCGCTTAAATTCCTGTCCCGATATTGAAGGATGGCTATAGAATTTCAATGCATTTCCTGCATAAGTCTATCCTTGTGTTGTAGGAGGTTTGACTAAACAAGGATGAACCATTCGACTCGATTTTCTGTCCTCCTTCAATACTGGGACGTAAATCCTCTCATTGCTCTTATGGGGAGGCCGTCGTATATTTTATTTAAACGTATTTGGTCACCATCGACATTATCGGACTACATGTTTTTATCTATCGATTAGTACTACTAGTACCTTCCCTTCATTAACTTTCCCACGGGACACACAATGCTTCCGTACTAAAAACACTTCTTTTCTCTAATTCGGCCAGCGAAGACATATGGAAGACGATGTGGATCTGAACGAGACAGTGTTGCCATATTAAAATACGTAATATCTGTAATACGTTTGACGAAAATATCTTGGGATGAAAAATCAACGTTTATGTATTGAAAATGTATTCGTGTTAAACATAGAATAAACAACAAAAATAAATATTCTTTTATAGGTACTGAATATGTCGTATGATCGAAATAAGTCGTTTAGTTGTCTTGGAAATGACGATTATTGACATTTACCATAATATTTTACATATGAAATAACAGCAATCTTCATTTCCAAGTCAACTCTGACGCCGTTCTTTGTTTAATCATATAATATTATATTAAATTATTTAGTGATAGAAAATCTGTATTATTAACGTACTGTACCCAAAATCCGTAAATCTACGGATTAATCAGTAGTTCTGGCAACACTCTCCGGCAACCACTCACTCTGTCGACTAAAAGCAGAACTACGGTACAGTATTCTTTATCCGCAGGGCTGTAAACGACTATCAGCGCGCAGCGGCGCAGAGCTAAATCTCTGAATTCTCGAACAGGCTGACGGTAACGCCAGCTACATCTCGGATAGGTTTTGGGCCACGAAATCGCCCATAAGCTTGCGCATCTTATTTCTTCAATCACCGGTTTTATGTTGACATTACATTATATTTGTTATATTACATATAACTATTTCTTATTTGGCATTCTAGTGTTTAACACATTGTAAAGTTTAGTGGTTATGGATTTTTTATATGTTTTTACATTTCTGTCACGAAATGTCATTAACAATTTCACATTTTAATATAATTGCTTTACCACGGTATACGTGATGGGTTAATGATTTCGAGACTTTCACCTTCCACAGGTTCACGAATTGCCCGCCGACAAGCTAAAGATTCGTGATGTTGTCTACATCGACATTGCCAATGACCCTGTCAGCTCGGCTGACTACAAGCCCGACGAGGATCCGCGCAAGTTCAAATCGGAAAAGACGGGACGTGGACCTTTGGTGGGCGACTGGAAGGATTCAGTCAAGCCAGTTATGACCTGCTACAAGCTGGTGACGGTCGAGTTCAGATGGTTTGGATTGCAGGTAAAGGCTAGATATATTCTACCGTGCTGACAACTCTTACTTTTGGGTCGGCATTTATATGTGTGGAAGTAAATCGCGTAGGGATCTTATTAAGTCGGAGTGAGAGAAATGCGAGTGTGCTGTTGCGGCGTTGCCACATTTCTCCGGTACGCCTTTCTATATCAAGTAAAGTAAAATCACGTTCGCAAACCGCTTATTTTTAAAAGACTTTTATTTTCGAAAAGATAACTAGAGAAAATTATTAGATATGTTTCTGAGCATCTGAAATGGGGTTAGGGTGTCCATTTTTTTATAGCTCAGTAATCGTCAGTAATCGCGATAACTCAATTACTGCTTTAGATATTGAAACTTTTTTTTATTCTGAAGTTCGGATCTTTTACAAGTTGTTTAAATAAGAAAAATTCGATAGGTTTGTTTTTTTTTTCATTCAAAATTTAGCTATAGGGAAAATTACAATGACTAGTTAATAAATAAGAAAATAAAGTATCACGAGACATAATTAAATCGTGAAGCTGAACGCATGATGTACACTCTTCCCTAGAATTTTATATAAGTACTGATATGGTACACTATGGTACTGATTGGGTCGACCGGTCTACCGCGACAGATCTGCTATATGCCCTTCTACGTCTCTTAGCAATGTGCACAGTTTCTCGGTTTATTTCATTCGTTTGGCTACGTTTTTACTGTCCTCTCTTTGTTCAGTACATTATAAACGAATAAACGCATTGTACTCTTCTTTCATACGGAAATCTCGACCCAAGACTAAACTTTGCCAGCCCTTAGTACAGTTCATATTTAATAAACTTTTAGTCACGTGATTAAGCTTGACCGGCACAGCGTTACCCACTTTTACATATTTTCTTTTATAATTTTAAATATTTTAGGAAACAATAATAAATTAATTATAAATATATAAACAGTTATTATTTACATCAACAAAACTCACGTCCTAACACTCCAGCACTTAAGGGAAATAAAGGGCCATTAATATGGCTTTCCCGCTCAAAATATTCTAATAAAATTGCGATGAGTTTCTTACGGTTATTAAGCTATCTTATTCACTTCACACTAAAAGAGGTTCTAAAAAGAAAAATATTCGACTGCAAGGTCTGCTAGTAAAAATGTTTAAAATTAAAGTATTACAACACACAATTCACTTAAACAAAAACTAGTAATACAAAACCATAGACAAACAAATAAAAAGAGACTGACAAATCTCATGGTAAATAGTGGGACCGCGTTCCCGTAGCGCAACTCAGAATAACAATTTTGAAACCAATTAGCAGGACCATGGCAGGACGTATGTCTTTATTGCTATCTTTCTTTATTGTGTGTGCTTTATATGAAAAAGAAAGAGATAGGTATAAAACGTATCGTAAGACATTATCGCACATTCTGGCTAGCGGAAAATTTAAATTAGCCTTTATTAGTAGTATTCTTTCATTCTGAAACTGAAAATTTTCACTTAAACTGATTTATATTCCCTATACCACGTAAAGGGAACGTGGTGTAGGGAATAAATCAGTTTAAGTGAAAATTTGCAGTTTCTTTCAGAACGAAAGAATACTACTATTATAAGGAAAATTATAAAAAAAGCAAAAATTGTACTGTTTTATAAACATATTTATTTATACATAAAAAAAATAAACTTTTTATAATATAATAACAAAAAATAACAGTGTTTATTCCACCCACCTACCAATTTTAAATGCAGAAGAACTGACTGTTGCAGGAAACGATCGGCCAATTTTTTTAAAGGGCATTAAAAATCTCATTTTCGAAAAAACTGCCTAATTGCAATAACAAAGTGAATATCCAAGCAAAGAAGACTTTACGAGAATCATGATCCTGAACCATTTTCAAGTCCAGTTTTAATCCTAAAACAAAAGTAAAATAGGTATATTAATAAAGTTTCTGGTTACTATAAACCAGCTACTACTACCCAAACTACCTAAACTACCTACCCAAAAAATGAATCAAATTAATTGTATTAATTTGTTATGTTAAGAGAGGTTCGAAATATTTTTGACACTACTACTTCTACTTTTTCCTTAATAAGATGATAAACTACTTACTTTTATTTTACCGGGTGTCTTTAACATATCTATCAGAGGAAGGGGGCACCAATACATATAAAAAATAGATGATACTGGCTCCTGCAGCAAATAAAATAACAAATAGTATAACCGAAAATTATAAGTAACAAAATATAAATACCTATATGGAACAAAGGAATTTGTTCCTTATCCATATTCATAAGTCAATAAAACGGAGAGTTTAGAAAAAAAGGTAAATCACCAAAAGAAAAATTAACAAACATGACGAATTGTCATGATGTTGTCATCTTGGTTGTGATTGATGACGAAAACGGAAGGCGATTGTTCTAATTTCTATTTAGAAATTACGTTTTATATGGTTGCTTCTTTCTCTCTTGTTATATTAGAATGAGATAGTGGGCCCAATAGATGCAATGCGCAGATCAACATAAATAGAACGAAATTTTGCGTTCTGAGTTGCGCTACGGGAACGTTGTCCCTCTCTTTGCCATTTAATTTGCCAGTCTCTTTTTATTTGTTTGTCTATGTACAAAACTAAAGTGTCAAAATGAACCAAAATGTCAGGAAATAAATAAATGTGGCAAATTGACATTTTTTATAGCAGAGCTATCACCTGAATCCTTAGCGGGAAATTTAAATTCCAGTTAGTCAGCCCGGCGCGGCGCCGAAAATGTTAGTGGTTGACAACAGTGAAATTAAAAATCGCGCCCTCGATTACATAACTAAAAGTTTAATTGGTATCGAATATAGATACAATATACATATTCTGTTCGTGTACAGGGTGTTCCACTAAAGTAGGTCTCGGAAAGTATTAGCTGTAAAGCTTGTTGATAAAAAGAAATTACAACTAAAGAGGCCATGTGAAATTGCTGGAAATTACTTTAAAATTTGTAGAATGACCGCTAGAGTGCGCAACTGTTATGGCAAATAAGAAAATGGACAAAATTCAGCAAATTTCGGATTTTTGTTTGTTTGACCCATTTGTCCTATCAGCTAAAATGAAGTAGTGGGGGGAGGTTAGATCTGTTTTTATTTATGGTAATAACTCCGGTCTGAGTAATTGGAATCTATCGAGCTAGGGCTCTAAAAGAGCGTTTCTTAGCGCAATTTAAAAGGTATACAATACTGTATTTTTTATTAGAGTTTTTTCTAATAACCCTTTGATTTGGCGTATTTTTCTGTAATTCGATTTTTTTTAACTTAAATTCTATTTTCGGTTCTTTGGAGATTCGAGTTAAGTAAGTTCCGCTATTAGTTTAGGACTATACCTCTACACTTACATCATCATAAATGTGATCTATACATATCATTTGTTTTATTTTCTAGTCACGAGTGGAAAGCTTTATCCAGAAATGTGAAAGGCGGCTGTTTACTAATTTCCATAGGTAAGTAACAAATACCACCCAAACAGCTAATTATATGTTATATTTTTGACAGTTTTTGTTTGAGTTAAAAAAGTTTAATTCTTAGGGTTGCTTTACTGTTTGTTCTGTTTTTGAGATGTATGAAAATCCTCTTGAACTTTCATTTCGTTGCATGAAAACATAAAAAAAAGTTTGCTATAGAATTGCAAAAAAAAAGAAAAAGAAATACAAAAAGGAAAGAACAGGATCTTACATACAGGGTGTCCCAGGCTGAGCGTGCATTAGAAGTTTCTAGAGAACTACAACATCTAGCTCGGAGATTTCTTTAACATCATAGTTTTACAACGACATCTATCGATCAAAAATATTTTCAATACGGCGGTACTTCCGGAAATACCGGAAGTTGACAACAACTTTCTTATTTTAAATGGGTGCCCCCATTTTTTATTACATACTTAAATTCTCTGTAAAATTTTATGAATTTTGATATTAAACACTCTATATCTAACATTGACCATTTTTGAGAGAAAAAAATATTTAAAATCTTTGAACGAAAAAAAACTGCCTCTCAAAAATATGGGTTTAGCCTAAACGTTAAATTTAGTGATTACCACAGCCACTGTGCCATAAAGAGAAAACATGTGGCTATCTATTTCAAAAATTAAATTGTTCGAATGTCATATAATCATGGCCACAGCTGTCATAGGATTGAACAATTAAAAAATTATCATAAATCATTTTTTTTTTAAATGGAAACCCACTTTTTTATTTCACTAGTGATTTTGATTATACATGTTCTTATACCTAAAATAAATGGTTTTTAAGTTATTTAAGATTTAGTTTTAAAGGGTATATTTTTTTGTTTTTTTAACCAGTAGCCTAAGCCTTTAAACGTCACGCGATGTAAAACTATATCTGGCCATGTCATATTGCCACTAGCTATCACTAAAATACGAGATATATTTTTATAAATACACTTCATAAAGTTTTACCAGCAGTATTTATAATACTATGCGAAATTCAAATAATTAGTTTTTTGACAGAAGGAAATAAATTGTCTGATGGTTTGACACTTAAGGTCAAAGGAAGCTAGCTAAAATTAAGAAAAAATTACGCTTTAAAACTAAATCTTAAATAACTTAAAAACCATTTGTTTTAGGTATAGGAACATGTATAATCAAAAAGTAACGAATTAAAAAACCTTTTCACTAGTTAAATAAAAAAGGGGGTTTCCATTAAAAAAAAACGATTTATGATAATTTTTTAATCGTTCAATTCTATGACAGCTACGGCCAATACTATATGACATTCGAACATTTTAATTTTTGAAATAGATAGCCACATGTAAAAACGTATTTATGTCCCAGTGGCTGTGGTAATCGCTAAATTTGATGTTTAGGCTATACAAATTTTTTTGACAGGCAGTTTTTTTCCTCCAAAAATATTAAAAATGTTTTTTCTCAAAAACGGTTAATGTTAGGTATAGAGTGTTTGAGATCAAAATTCTCACAAAATTTTATAGAAAATTTAAACATGTAATAAAAAATGGGGGTACCCATTTAAAATAAGAAAATTGCTGTCAACTTCCGGTATTTCCGGAAGTGCCGCCATATTGAAAATAGTTTTAATCGATAGATCTTGTTATGAAACAGTAATGTGCAAAAAATCTCCGATCTAGATATTATGGTTCTCTAGAAACTTCTAATGCACGCTCAGCCTGGGACACCCTATGTACCTCAACAATACAATATTTGCATTAGTTTCGCACTTGCACACAAAAAAATGTAAGAAAACTTTTTTGTAGAGAATTCAATTTCCTACAAACATACGAGACGGTATATTTTTCCAAATGGTAGATACCCGAGATATGAATTCTAATATAATCTTTCTAATAATACGGAAAAATAGAAAACTGAAAGGCGGATGACCTTCCTATTAAAATTAAGAGCTCATACTTGGAGATTATGCATGACATTTAAGAGTATATTACGTTGTACTGTTCGGGTCGCTTCGTTCGTACTGCTCGGGTCGGTTCGTTCTGTCAAAAATCTGCCTAAGGCTTAGCCCGATCCTGTCGTGTTAAGCCACACCCAAAATTCCAAATACACGTGCTTTGATTAAGGTTTGCTGAGCTTCAGCATTTGCCATAAAATAGCGAGCCATTTGTTACAAAACTATATAAATTATATATCACTGTAATAACAAAAATTCAATCTATTTCCGTATTATAACGGAATTTTAAATTATGTCTTTATTTTCCAGTAAATTTAATCCAAACATAAGGAATATTTTGTTGATGTTTGACCATCAAAATCTTAAAAATAAAGAAGTTGTCTGAAAATGTGCTACAATACGGATATAGTATAATCCTTTATCTTTAATTTCCTTCATCATTTGTATAAAAATACCTAGCCAGTTTTACGTAAAACGTTAGATGCCGCTTATTTGGCTACTTTTTCGGACTAGTGAAATAGACTCTTAAAATTAATTTTTGTTCTCTGTTTCCAACTAGACAAGTGTTCTGTTGGATGGACCGCTGGCACGGCCTGACGATGGACGACATCCGGCGCATAGAGGAGAAGACCAAGGAGGAGCTGGAGGCGCTGCGAAAGACGGGCGAGGCGCGAGGAATGAAGGCAGAGTCAGATTAATTTTTAATCTTTAGCCAAATCCGAAAACTACCTACCGGCATACATAGCTAATTCGTTAATCTAACGGAAACACGGTTAATTCTCTACTATATCGGAAATGAAACAAAAAACAAATTATGAAAATTTATATACTTATATCTCTCGTACATTTTCGCTAGCGTTTGGGGCGCCCTCTATTTTGAAACCGGGTCCCCGTGAAAGTATTCTATGTGTGTAATTAATTGAGTACGGACGGCTGACGGAACCTGCTCGAGATTTCGTTAGAAATAATTATACAGGGTGGTCCGAACTGTATTCCGGAAACTTCGGCAGCATATTCTGCAGATAAAAATAAGTAAAAAAGTTTGTATAAATGTATGTCCTAAAATGCTTAGTTTCGGAGATTCAGGGTGTAGAAGTTTCATTTTTATTTCGATTTTTTCCAAATAATTTCTGAAGTAACATCAATATTGGGATGAAAATTGGTGTCTGGGAGTTTTTTGACATGAGAAATTTGATTTTGATATCAATATGACTCCTATTTGTAGAATGCGCCACCTACGTGTGTTTTAACTGTTTAGAAGAGTAATAACTTTTCGTCCGTACCTATATAAAACTACTGAGTGAAAAATATGCATTTGTGACGTTTTACAAAAAAAAATCGCGACGGGCAGCCGTTCTCAAAATATTTAGAATGGGAATAGTCAATACTAAAAAAGAAAACTAGAAATAATAAATTTGGGAAATTTTTATTTTTTTAAATTAATCATAAAATTTTCTGCATTTTACATACAATTTTAACATAGCATTTTAGGACATACATTTATTCAAACTTTTTACTTATTTTTATCTGCAGAAGATGCTGCCGAAGTTTCCGGAATACAGTTCGGACCACCCTGTATACGGGGTGAGTCAGTTTTAATACAATTAATTCACTGTCAGGACTTTCAGAGGTGAGCATAGTACAGGGTGTTCTTTTTTTAAGTGTTTTATGGGGTGTCTTCTTTATAAGTAGCGATACAAAGATGCGGTTGGGTTGGTTTTCACTACTACCGTGTGACCTATTAAAAACGGCGTCAGCGATGGCTATGAAATGAAGATCGCTGTCATTTTATATGTAAAATTATATGGGAAATGTCACCGACCGTCATTTCCAAGCCAACTGGACGCCATTTTTTGTGTGACACTACTGACGTGAAAACTACATTTTTGTATCTCTACTCATAAACGAGAAATCCCATAAATAAACATACGAGAATGGAATAACATCCCCATGCCTACTCTGTAACGTCATTTTTATTTAATCACAGGATGTTTAGAAAGTTTAGTAATTCTGAAACATTTTATATATATATACCTTATGATCGAAAGGAGGGTGTCAAGTTGGGATGAAAATAGCGATCGATGATGTTGACCATGTAATTTTACATATAAAATGACGATGCGATCATTTCAAGGCAAATCTTTTTGTTCAAAGGTGTGATATTCTTTACACCCTTCTGAAGATGAATATTAGCATTATCCTTATGTTTCACTTATAAAATTTGTATACCAATTAAATTTTGGCATTAAAAATGAACCACCCTGTATATTAACCTACAGTATAATATAGTAAATTATTTTACAATTCTTACTGCGAACATAAAGTTGTATTAAGATATTTTCATAGCAGATTGTAAGTATGGTACTGTTAACATAAATATACATAAATATATAAAAAAATCTCTATTAAGATCAAAAAGTACAAACAATAATATTGAATTCTATGTGAGAAATACAAAAAATAATCTATTGCTGTTAATTAAATGTGGATTTTGCATTGTTGGTATATGGAAAAAATAACTTGTATTATATAACATTTTTGGTTATAGGTATTTTTGATTGTGATTTAAATGATGTGATCGCAAATAAATATTATTAAACTGACTTATTATTTTTTATGATCACGTCGTAAAATAAAACCTTATTAGTAGAGTAATCTCAATCGTGTCCTTGCACATTATTAGGGTTAGAAAATAAATTCGGGCAGGTTTCGGCAGTAAAGTAATAGTTACGAAACAGTTAAGTGCATTTATTTTGTAGGTTATCCAATTGAAACGAAATAGTAGGTATTAAAGAAATATAGATAACCTAATCCCTTAGTAATGATAGAAATCACGATATTTTTCGTTGTTTTGACAGTTGGCAGCATGTATAGCAACACCAAGGTTTAATAGTCTCTAGTTAAAAAATATGTGAGCTGGCATATATGTATAGGCCTGGTCATTTTAAATCGGTGGACTGTATTTTAATGACTAAAACATCTCGCATAATTAAAGATTGCGTACTACATTGACAGAAATTTAATACAAAGATCGATAGATTTATCCAAAGGGTTAGGGTATTCTATGACTTTTAATATCTACGTTCGTACAGTGTCGTGAATTTTAGCATATTTGAATTGAGTTACCAATGAAAAATGTGGTTTTGTAGGATACGAGCTTGACCTTCAAATTGTGTAGCCTTCTCGCTGACAAAGAAAAATAATGAAAACCGTCTATTTGTTGCCGTTTGGATGTTTTTTTTATTTTATTATGTAAAGAGTATACTTTTTTATATTTTACTAAATAAACTGTTTGATTTTTTAGCGGGCTGTTTTATTTAGGTTGGTGGGAATGTTTTTACGAAAACTTTTCATTATTTTTCTTAGTAGTACCGCAGATTCGATACAAAGTATTTTTTAAACAGAAGAATGTCTGGTGGCGAGCACAATACACATACTAGCCCTTGTCAATGTTCATCTGCGTGGTCTGTATTTTAATGCATGCGGCAGAGATAAATATAAATGACTGGTTGACAGACAGAGAAAATAAAAAGCGGCATAAGCGGCATCGCTTATTTAGCAATATCAGTGCTGCCGGTTTTTTCCGTATGTAGGAAATTGCATGTAGAAAAAAACAAACTATTTTTTTATTTTAAATATTTTAAATTAAGCTAAATATAATCTATTACAGCTGTAGTAAAATGAGTAACTAATTGTGAAAAATAAAGTTTCAACCCAGACATTTCATTAACGCCTACATGTGCGGTTTGAAATTTTGATGCAAAATCCGGCAATACTGCATACAGAGCTACAAGCTCACAGAAAATGTTTAAGTCTTTTGACTTAAATCATTTTAATGACTTAAATCATTTGATTTTAATTCGATTTTTCGAAAGCTGACTTAAGACGTCATTTTCAAAATGACTTGTGACTTAAGTCTTTATTCCGAAATAAAAAAAGATTTAAGTCATTAGAAAAAGATTTAAGTCTTTTTGGAAAAGATTTAAGTCTTTTTGGAAAAGATTTAAGTATTTTAAAAAGATTTAATTTTTTTAATGACTTGAGTCTTTTACAAAAGACTTAAATCTTTTAGAAGATTTAAGTTTTTTAAGAGGTTTAAGTCTTTTTAGAAAATATTTAAGGCAGTAATAAAGATTTAAATCTTTTTTTAATGACTTAAGTCTTTTACAAAAGACTTAAATCTTTTAGAAGATTTTAGGTTTTTATGAGATTTAAGTCTTTAGAAAAGTTAAGTCAGTAAAAAAGATTTAAATCTTTTTTTAATGACTTAAGTCTTTTACAAAAGACTTAAATCTTTTATATTTAAATCTTTTATGAGATTTAAGTCTTTTTAGAAAAAAATTAAGTCAGTAAACAAGATTTAAATCTTTTTTTAATGACTTAAGTCATTTTACAAAAATCTTAAATCTTTTAAAATATTTAAGTCTTTTATGAGATTTAAGTCTTTACAAAAATGACTTGACTTGAAAGAAAATGACTTAAGTCAAAGACTTAAAACTTAAGTCATTTGAACTTTATATTGAAATTGATTTAAGACTTACATCATTTTGATTTTAGAATTGAGTTAAGACTTAAGTCTTTTTAAAACTGACTGGTAGCAGCTCTGACTGCATAGAAGAAACGTATCAACCCAAGTTTTATCTCTTTAATACATTCGATTTTCCATTAAGTTGTCGACGTTACTGTCTTACACGTTAAAATCTCGACTACGCAGTTTCAATGACCAGATTCCATCATTGTTTAACGATACGTCATATGAAGGGTAAGGGGGAAAATATTGAATATAACAAACGATGTCCAAATAATAACGCATACAGTAATATTTTTTTGTATCTTTATTATTATGGTATTTGGCAACATAAGATCAGTTTTCTGCTGTCTACTGTGCTCTCAGACAAAATTCAAATCCGTTTGTTACTAAAATTGGTATGTGCGTTTAAAATTGAAAAATTGAGTTGAAAAAACAAAATGAATAAATGCTAAAAATACATACTCAAAATCAGTAAAATCAGAGGGGTGTCTCACTATTGGAATTACATGTACATTTTCTTGGCAGATGCTGGCAGTCTTACGGCAGTCGCTTAGAATAATTACATGGCAGTCATAGGCAGTCTTCTCCGTAGTCATTAGCAGTCACATGGCAATGACATGATATTTTGGCAGTACATGTACATCTTTTACCCAAGTGAGACACCGTTAAAAAATCGGAACACCCTCAATAACTAACTTCGGAAGATACTTTACATTTTCTAAACAACGTGAACTGATCTGACACACACCCTATATCAGGTATTAGATAAATGATAATGACGTAACGTTAACCGATCGGTATACAGGCTATATAGACGGAACTGAATTGTATCTGTATGCTCTAGCGCAAAATGTGACGTCAGGTAATAGAATTGGCGCCATATTTTGCGTTAGAGCATATCTATTGTATGTGTGTCGTGATAGTGAGTACCATCTTAACTAATTTCTGAGGTTTTTCTTCTTTTGAGACTGAAAGTACTCCAAATTACTTATTAACCAAATATATAATTAACCGGTGAATCTTGCTCTATAACGTTTGATATTTGTAACAATTTTCTTCAGAATGTATACAGTGTGATCGATAAAAAGGCTCATATTGGTTCGGGAATGACGGTTCGTTACACTGGAACGTCTTTTCCAAGCCAACTCTTGACGCCGTTTTTTTTATTATGCAGTATTTTAATTAGGTATGATAATAAAATACAACTCCTGGTTAAATTTCGTGGATGAATAATATTCCCTTTCATGTATGAAAAAGTCTCTGAAAAATATATTAAT